TTTGAGAGAGAAAGAGATAGAGAAAGCATGCTAGCATGAGCAGGGGGCAGAAGCAGAGGGAAAGGGAGAAGCAGACCCCCTGCTGAACAGAGAACCAGATGTGATCCCAGGACCCTTGAGATCATAATGTGAGCCAAAGGCAGATGCTTAACCAACTGAGCTACCCAGGTACTCCAGTTTTACCTTGATTTTCATGTTCTTGGCACTCTTCAAGTTACAGGATATTTATTATGTAGCACGGTGCTCAATTTCAGTTTATCTGATATTTCATTGATACTAGATTCAGGTTTATACATCTTGGCCATAGCATCAGAAAAATGATGAGGTGTTTTTCTGTTTTTCTCATTGCATTCTGTTTCTGCTTGTCCCATTACTGATGATGCCCATGCAAATATTTTTCCTCGCTAAATTCTCAGTAGAACTACAATGCCCAAAATCTTAAGATACAAGAGCAGGAAAAAAAATAAGACAATAGCAATAACTGGAAGCTGGGAACCAATTATGCATGTGGTTTCTGATTTGGCAGACCAAAGGAATGAGATACAATAACCCATGAAAGGCAAATGAATGGGAACCACTAGGAACTGCCAGGGGTGGGGTTGAAGAGTGAGGACTGAAATGAGAATTACTGAGAACCCTTTGAGAAGCAGTCAGACCCTACATCATCCCCATAGCTACACACATTTGCACATCTTCCTTTTTATGCTTTCAACAAAATCTGGAAGTTTGTTTTTGGGAGAAAGTAAAACTGAGAGACCTTGATGGGGGTTTCAAGCATAGTGTAGAGCACAGTTATCAGAAACAAACAAACAAACAAAAAAAAGGATGAAGAGATGGCTTACCTAACAAATATCTAATGCTGAAATCCTTGGCCCTTCATCTGCTTGGGGCTCTGGTATCTTTGGCAGCCAGACCCTTATCTTTCATGCAGGAATCTACATCGCAAGATCGTTTCCTGAGATTCCCTTACAGGGAAATTATAATCAATAAATTCTCTCACACAGTCAGTCAAATATTCAGTTGACTATTTAGTCATAAGCAGACAACCACTGCCACTAGACAAACAGAAAACAAAACAAAACAAAACAAAAACAAAAACCTTAAGGAAACTGACATGCATGATGAAGAAAATATAGTAAAAAGTATTTACGAACATATGCAGAGCAGTAAGAGAAGACATTACATTCATGAAACAAGAATAAGATGCTATAAAATAAGACATCTAGAGAACTGTGAATAATTCTTCGAAATTGAAAACATGGTAGGAGAAATATTTAAAGCCATCTATTTTAAAAAGGGCTACAAAATACATTGAAGAAATATCCCAGAAAGCAATGCATGAAAGGAAAAAAAGATGGACATAGAATACATAGAAAATTAGAGGAACAATCCAAGATATCAAATATCTGAGAAACAGGTGTTCTAGAAAGTAAGAACACAAAAAATTAAAGAGCAGATATCCCAATTAAATATTTAAGAACATTTATCACAATGGGACTTGAAATGCCAGATGGAAAGGAGATAACATGATAAAATGAAATTTATCCATGTAAAAGAACACAGTTGTGAAATTTCAGATTGGCAGAGACACAGACAATTCTACAATCTTCTAGAGAAGAAAATAAAAAATCAAATTATACAAAGAATCAGGAATTCAAAAGCCTTCCTCAATAGTAACAAAGGAACAAAACAATGAAACAATGCTTTTACAATGTCAAAGAAAAAATAATCCCAACTTAGTATTTTATCTTCAAACTATCTACCACCTGCCAAAGTAGATTAGAAGATATTTTCTTAATTCAAGTTCCTAAAAGTTTACTTCCTATGCCCTTTTTCTAAAGGGTCTACTTGTTTCTACCTTAAGAGACAGACCAAGAAAAAGAGGTGATGTGAAATTCATAACAGAGGAATAAAGTGATGAGTGCCTTCAAGGTAATGGTGGAGGGGGACCTCAAGGAAAACAGCTATGCCCCTAAAATCGACATCACTGGTGCAGTGTGATTCAGGAAGCAAGTATAGCAGCTCCGTGCCCTCTGCAGGGATGCAACCTTTCCTGATGGTCCTGGAAGATGAGCTCTACCACAAGTTAGTGAACCAAAAAAGAGACATTTAGAAAACAGACAATCCAACAGACAATCCTTCATACATCCTAAGGAATACAGCTCAAAGAAGTAACCCAACAGTGTACAGCAGATCTGGAGCAAAGCCAGCCCGAGAGGACAGCGAGGTGTCCAGGCTCTCCTGGAAATCCTGGGATTCATGAACAAAGAAAAGTCTAGGTACATTAACTGATGTTGTTGACTTTATGGAATATTGTTCTGTGAAGCTAGTAGAAGGTGGAAGAATTATCATTAGTACAGAGGTAGCCTAGTAAATGAAAAACAAAACAACAACAACAAAAACCAAAGCAACAGTTTTAATTTCAAGAGAAACAGAAAGAAGGAAAACATCATAATTCGCTACAATGTGAATAATATTTACAAAGGCACAAAAAACCCACTAAATATTCATTTAACTAAAAATTATGATATAACTCCATTAGATAAGCAGGGAGATGGCAGTGGAAAAGAGCTAAACCTTCATCCAACATAGGAAGAAATCAGTATGAGACCTACCTGTGCATGTGATCTAAAATATGCGTATTTGTAAATTTCCAGAGAAGGAACTAAAAGAGGTGGACTTGAAGTGAGGAACGAGAAAGAGGATTGCCCCTGATATCCAGGAGTTGGGAGGTGTGGTGTTCTCTCATTGCACATAACTCCCAGAACACCAACGTCAGACATGACATTGGTGCTCATAGTAGATCAAGACAAAAAAAAAAAAAAAAAAAAGACCCCTCCATAATCATGCCTGAACACAGACAGAACATGAGCGATGTTCAAGCCATGACATGGACCGAATGTCCTCTCTCCTGGAGAATATGGGCAGCTGCTGCTTCTTTACCAATTACAGCCTTAGCCTCACTGTAGGTGTCCCTCCTTCTAGATAAAATTCATTAAGATAGGCGATTATAGAATTGCCCTGTTTGTAACAGCAGTCAATCCAGAGCAAAGACCCAACTTCCTTAAATTTTCCTCAAATCGCCTAACACAACCTCAAATCCTGTAGGTTTTACTAATCCCCTTTTACAGAGACTTACCACAGTTCCCCATGGTGTGTGGTCTCCCTCACTGCAAGAAATAATAAGCCACCTCTTTCAGTCATAGGTGTGTTCCTGGTGGTCTTTGGCTGGAAGGAATTTATTTGTAGGAAGTATGGGGAGGGAAACCATTGGGTTTTGTTAACATGGTTTCAGTTACTTTTGGACATGTAGATATATATATACACACATATATGTATATGTATATATATACATATATACGTATATATGTAATATCTATACACACATCATTTTGATAAAAATACAAATTAATTTTAAAATTAATTTTAGAAAGCTTATTGTATGTTACCTACCATGGTGGGAAAGCATATGTACACTGACTCATTTGGAGTTTTCGTTGTTTGAAGAAGGGTCATCTTACTAAGCAAGTCCAATAACTTGCAATGAATGCAGAAAATAAACAGAGCAATAACAACCCCCCCTGGTCCATGAAAGGCAACAGTTTTAGATGCTGGACTTGGTCAGCAGCAACAGGAAGGGGTTAACTTGCAGAACTGAAACTAAATCCCTTTCACTTGCCTTACTTTGCAAAAGACTAAATATTAAGGGGAAAGAAAAAAATGAGTATAGTTATTCTACAAAATTTGGATCGCTGCTCAAAATAAGCTTGCACATATTTATTCATTAGTGATCCATGAAAATAAAGTACTCACTTTAAAAGCCTAATTTAAAATGTCAAGCATTGGATCCACAAAAATGGATACATTTTAAAAATCTAATATGCAGCAATTTGGTTGATGTCAAAATCAACCTTGTTTCTAAAAATCCATCTACTTCTGTGGTTAATCCTAATGGTTTCTTTTAATTACAGATTCTGATTTCTGGATGTAATTAAAATAGCCAATAACGTTTTAGCTGCCATTAAACCCTGTCTTAAATTACAGAGGGGAAATGGAGCCACCCATCAACATAATCACTATCCAAATAATCCCTTAAAAGGCTTTGCAGTACGGAGGCCCATGAGTCAAATAGAAAGTTACAATTTTAGGGTCTGCCGGGATGTCTTAAACAGACTTAGGGGGAAGAGGGGAATCTCAAACATTAATTTCAATCATCCCATTTTAATAACTTTCAACATATTGTCAGTCCTGTTTTATTTATACTCCCACCCACTTCCCTACCTCCCCAGAGTATGTAGAAACCAGATATCATATCATTTCATCTGTAAACATTTAAGAAACCACATATAGAAAGATAAGACTACTTTTCTAACATAAATACAATGTCATTTTTTTGCACCTGAAATTACTGTCAATAATCCCGTAACGTCCTCAAATACCCAGTGAATGTTCAAATTTTCCCCAAATATCTCATAAATACTGTCCCATAAATGTTTATACAGCTCATATTTTTCAATTGGGATCCAAAAAATTCCACATATGGCATTTGGTTGATATGTCTCTGAAGTCTCTTCATTTCTAATCAATTTCCCCCTCCTTCTTTTTCCTGCTTTCAATTTATTATTTGAAAAAACACTGTTTTTTTTTTTTTGTCTTGTAGAATTACCATTTTCTGGATTTTACCATTAGAATCCACGTAGTGTTTTCATTTTTTCCCCCCAGTCTCTTCCTTCTAACCCTCACCCTCAAGACTCAAATGTTAATATTGATCAGTGGATTCAGGTGTTACTAGCTTGATTCATCCATTATAAAGGTTTCTATTCACTTTTTACTAATGATTTGGGGAACCACTCATCATCATTATCTATAAACATCCATTATTGCATTAGGGGGAGAAAATGGTTATATCCTAATTCCATTATTCTGCAATTAACATGTATAACAATTCTTATAACCAAGACTATTTCTCTTAATAATTACACTGAGGATAGAAAAGAGGATAATGCTTGATTCTTTCTATTTATTTTCCAGTTTTCAGACAGATTGTGATTTCTCACTTTCTCCAAAGGTTGTATAGGAAGTATTCTCTTTATGTTATTAAAAACTCATGCACATTTTACATAGGTGTTGTATTTCAAACTCTTGAGGTTGTATTTATTTACCGATTTATTTTTATTGACGTATAATGACATATAACATTATATCAGCTTCAGTTGTTCAACATCATGATTCAATATTTGTATATACTGTGAAATGATCATCACAATACATCTAGTTAACATCTGTTTCCATACATAGGTACATTTTTTTCCTATAATGAGAAGTTTTAAGATCTTGTCTATTTATGATGCTCAGATATTCCTGTATGTTGCCAGGGAAACTCTTTCAAGTTGGTTTCCAACTACTCCTGACACAACCCAGAGCCTTTAGCAGTGTCCCTTTAATCTGGTGTAGAGAGAGTTTCCTGGTTCATTTTGTTCATTTCATGTCTTAGACTTGGACTCAGCCATCTTACAAGGTGCTCTGATTTCCTGTTGAGAGACAAATGATATTTAGAGATCATAACCTAGGTTCTACAGGGTGTTCATTGCTACAGATTGACCATTGTTTCTAAACTTTTTTTTTAGTGGACAGAGATAAGGTAAAAAAATCATGAAAAAACATAAGTTCATACTGTTATTTCCAATTCACATTTAGGATTAACTGGTTTTTACTTTAATTCTTTGATCTTGTAATATGTTTCTTTTCTCTTGTACTGAAAATCTTGGTTTCTAATGATATTGGCATATTTAACTTATTTGCTTTGTCATGAATATGTGTTTCAAACTGTATTCAGGGTAATTTGCTTTAGAAATATTCATATTGGCAACTGGGCGGCTCAGTGGTTGAGCGTCTACCTTTGCCTCAGGTCGTGATCCTGGAGTCTCAGGATGGAGTCCCACATCGGGCTCCTGCAGGGAGCTTTTTTCTCTCTCTGCCTGTGTCTCTGCCTCTCTCTCTGTGTGTGTCTCTCATGCAAATAAATATATTTTAAAAGAGAAATATTCATATTTACATATTTAAGTACGTTTAAAGATGTGACAAACCAGCTAACTCAAGTATATACAGATTCCCAAAAAAATCTCATTCCAGATAAGAAAAAACTTTATTTCACAGAAAAGTGATTGAATAGAAATTTTGTTATTTCTATGAAAAAAATATAAAAAAGAAAAATCTCAAACTAGGTGAAAGTGACAACAGATGTACCTGTCCAGATCTCAAGCTGCATGACCAAGACTGGTGATCCTTTTCCAGATTAAAGTGTGGAAGACTAGACTGTTAGGATAACTCACAGTTTTTTTGTTGTTTCATTGTCTTGAGAAAGAAGGCAATTGAGGTGATGAGGGACTGTTCTTAGTGATGTCTAAACATTTCTGAATTAACAATAGTAGAATGAGTTAGCTGAAAAAAAAAAAAGAATGAGTTAGCTGAATAGGGATCATGTGACATTGAAATTGAGGTTGAGTGATGACAATAATATCTAGGACATAATAGTTAACAGAGAGCCAAGGGATGGTAAGGGGAAAGGTACTGATGCTTAAAGAGGTCAAGGAAATGAGAATCTGGGTTTGGATGGATCATCTGTGCTTACCTCTAAGGTGGGGCATGATCAATTTAGGAGCACCTTGATGAAGACATAGGAATCCATAATTAGAATTCCTACTTATAGCAGTCAACATTCTATAAACATTCATTTCTAGTTCATGTCATATCATTCATTAGAGTGTATGATACTCTTTGAAGAAGGATGGTTTCACAATAAAAAGCAGTCAAGTAAAGACTAGAATTAACTTGATTCTCTGCATCCTCTTTGTAGTGGCTAAATTATACTCCATGGTATGACTATGCTACTATATAGGTAACCCATTCCTTCTTAAGAGACTATATGGTTTGTTTTTAATCTTCACTGTTATAAAAATTATGAAATAAATACTCCTACACAAGTTTCTGCATAGTTATTCAATTAGGATAACTCTTAGAAATGATGGGTCAAAAGTTACCCATCTTCATAGGTCTGTTAACTTAGTTGGTACATATAATTGAAGAATGCAATATTTATTGCCAGCATTTTGAACATGCTACTTGATTATTACATCAGGAAAGTTCTTATCAAGTCATAAATAAAGATGATTAATAGGAGAAAGGCAGAGAAACATTTATCAGTATTTATCAGTACTGAGGAATCTGATTTTAGGAAACCAAGAAAAATAAATATTTTATATCATGGATTGTATTTTTTCAGGGTTGTGTGTGTGTGTGTGTGTTGTTGTTGAAAGAATCCCAAATCCCACTTTCTTGATTTTTTAAATTTATCCTGTTATGTAGACTAATCTGTGTGACTCTACTATGTGGCCAGTTTATGTCTTGGTGAATCTTGGAGGTTCACTAAGCAACAGAAACCAGCTTTTGGCTGCCCTTTCTTTCTAGATAATATGGAGCCAAGATAGGAAAAAGATAATACCAAGCATTCCATGTCAAGCGCACAGTAGCTAACTGATTAAAACAACAACAACAAGAAAACATCATGGAAAACCCCCGGTCTCATTTTTATTGTTTTTCCTATTTTACGTTTGTTTTTGGTTTTGGATTTTTACTATTTATTGACTTGCATTATTTTTGTTTTTTACTACTCAATGTTCTTCAATTTCAATTCATTGCTTCAGTTTCCAAATCTGGAAAAATCAAACAAGATTTAACTGGAAAATCAATGACATTTAACTGTAATATCAAGTCGACCTCCAACAGAATTATCAGAACTACTGTTTCCTATAGAGGAGGAACCATTCCACCCATCCATGCAAAAGCATGAGAATTAGCTTCTGTTTACATCTTTCATTAGTCATGTTCCCTTCTTCCAGGCTGACAATGCACAAAGGGAAAGACAGAAATTTGATCATGCAGATGAGAACAGTGAAGTGCTTCTTAAAACATATTAACCAAGCCATGGAATTTCTGTGGTCAAAGTCAAAAATGATCCCCAGAGAAGCCATTAATAGTTGCCATTTTGACTGAAAGGAGTTCTGAAGTCAGTGTCAATGCATGCTGTTTGAGTTTTCGGTTTTTTGTTTTTTATTTATTTGTTTTTAGATTCCTTAACTGGTTCACTATTTCTGCTGTCGTCCCAAGTGGCTTTGCCTTCTCCTGTGGAATTTTCTTGACTAGAGTCTCATTAGACGACATTTCATCTAATTAGATTTCTTGGCTGTTAGAGATTATTATGCTAGAAAACCGACATTCCTTCCTCCCTCTTTCCTCTTCCGTTACTTCTATCCTGCTCTTGTGTTTTTATTTATGCAAGATGCAAGCCAGATGTTATATTAATAAGAGAGCTGATTTTCCTCAAGGAGCCATTCATCAGCATAGAAGTATTCTGTAGACCATGTTGCAATTTCTGAGAATTCTTTAAATTCTTTCCTTTTTTTTTTCATTTTAAGTAATAAATATTGGAAGATACACTTAAAAGCAGTATAACCGTAAGTGTAGAATTACTTCTGTTTATGGTGAGTGCTAGCTAATACAGATTAAGAATTTTCACAACTAAAATTTAAATTTAAAGAAGGAATTAAAAAGAGGGGCTATATCTTAGTATAGATGTAGGTAGCATATCATAATCGATGTGTATAAACTTTTTGAAAATTTGATTAAAGTGGAACAAAGATGTTTTATCGAAGCAATGCAGTATCTCACACCATAAAATTCAGATTCTGTGTGGTTTAAGGTGTCTACTTTCAAACATACAGAATTAAATGATTTCTTCATTTCTTCCCCCAAAGCTCTTTTATAAATGAGGGATATTAAAACCAAGAAGTGAAGAGCTTCTTGTATTCTTCAGACAAATTCATCTTCTAAAGCACACAGAGATAAAATAAAAAAAGAAAGGCAAAACCACAGTCAAATTCATTATGATTCCAAAAATAATCTCTTAAAACAGACACAAGATCCTTAAACTACCAAACATCCCAGGAACACTCAATAAAAGCTTTGGAAGTATTTTTTTTAAATCCTCAAAAAGCTTAGTTCTGAGTTTTCCCTTCCTGTTGGTTTTGGTTCTGTAGCTTAGATTAACTGACCAAAGTAGCTACCCTGAAGTCCAAGACCCCATGGGTGAGAGTTGAACCTGGGGAGTGATGCAGTACTTCTCCCCTTCACCAGTTTTCTAGGCACTCATAACCTGTGTGTAGTATTTATAAGATGAAGCACCTCCTTGATTTTTATTTATGGTATATTTTACAATCTAAAGGAATGGGTGCCTCAGCAACTACTACCAGTGGCCCCAGCACTTTAACAGGTAGAAGCTGGTAAGACTCATTCTTGATTTCAAGAATGCCAGTAGTTACCTGCAACTAAATATCAAGTCCTCAGGAACTACCAAAATTTTTTCTTATGTCTGGCCATAGTAATAGCCGTACCATCATCCCAGCTTCAACCTCATGTCTGTCCTCTTTACACGCTTTAACTTCCTAAGAATCTACACTCTCTGGCATTCTTCCTAACTCACTGGCTGCTCCTCCTTGGTCTCCTTGACTGATTTCTCTTCATCTGCCTGACCTCTTATTATTGGAGTCCTTTAGGGTTCAAGCCCTGGACATCTTCCCTAACTACAATATTCCTTTCACCCTGGCCCATATGCCATCTTTGCAGCCAGACCCCAAATGATGATCTCCATCCTGTAGTTCTCACCTGAACTGCAGACTTGTATATTCAACTGGCCATTCCACATCGCCATGCCAATGTCTAGAGGCTTCTCAATAACAGGCTCCAAATACCACCCGATCACTCACACTTCTCGTCTCTTCCCCTGATGCCACCCAGATCCAATCCATTAATATCTTCCTTGTACCATTACACCAGACTTGCAACCCATCTCCCTGAGGTCCCATTTCTTGACACTATTCTTGACAATATAGTCAAAGTGATCTTGACTAAAAATAATATCAATCATATCACACATTAACTCATTACTTTCCAGTATCTTCCTAGCTTACTCAGAGTGAAGCCTAATATATTTACACTGACCAAGAAGACCTGACTCCATTCCCTGACCTCAGCTCCTACCACCTCGCCCCTCACCTTACTTCAAGCACACTGTCCTTGACGTCAGCCAATATATTCCCTGACAGAGACTTCCCCACCCCAAATGTTGTGCATGTGCTTCTTTCTGCCTGAAGTGCCTTTCTGCCAATGTCTATGTGGCTTGAGTCTCATCACTATACTTGCCTACTTTTCTCCAACACACATGTTGCCATGTGAGGTATCAGCTGTTTTACTTATTTTTGTTTACTGCCTGTCATCCCCCACTAAAATTTAAACCCGACTTTGTGGGTCACTGATGTTTCTACATTCCCTAAAACACTACCTGCCAATGGAGTGCTTTCTCAGCAAATAAGTGTTGACTGAATGAATTTTAATAGTCCTGCAATCATAGTTATTACCATTCAGTCTGTCGACAAACATGTACTGACAACCTACAGCTTTCATAGTAGTGCATTCAGTGCTATACTGGAAACAAATAATGCAGAAATGCCTTCAAATAAGTTATAATTTATTTGTGCAGTTTGAGATATGTCTGTATGGAACCCTAACAACCAAATGTAACACAGAAGGATGACAAATGAAAAAATGCACAAAATTGCTTATGTCACTGTCATCTTTTGAGACAGGATATGTAAATATAACATTCTGAAATCCATTTTTTAAAGGGAAGTTCCGGGTCTATTCATTTGTCAGGAATAATTTCACATGTCAATATGCAAGTTGACCTCAAAATAAATATTCGCTCAAACTTTCAGATATTCATTTATTCACACATTTATTCAAAAACAAGTTGCTGCCAGCCTCTTCCATGCCAGACAAGCACTACCTGAAAGACATAGGCTCTAATTGTGAATGAGAAGGGCCAGATCTCTTGCACTTACAAAACTTATCATGATGTACTTGAACACGTACTTAACTAATAGTGGAAAATAGGAACATTCTCTCTATTCTTGTGTATCACATAGGCATGTTTTCCCTTTTACCTGAAATCCCTTCAAAATCTATTTGCCAAAAATTTTCATTTATATGTGGAAGAGCAATAAGGGCCCAAGGAAATTGGGGTACAAAAAGACAGTGTGTCTAGTTCATAAAAATGTTAAATATGTACTTATCATGTGACCCAGGAACTTTTCTTCAGATTAAATGACAACAGCTGCAGAAAGACCTGCACATGGATTTCATAACAGCTCAATTAATAATGTCCCAACAGTAAAAGCAATCCATGTCCATAAATAGTTTGAAGAATAAACAAACC